TTACAAAAATTTAAAATAAAAATATATTAATGAAAATAAAAACTACTTTTAAAACTTTAAAATATGAAAAGGAAAACCATGTTTAAAATTTTCTTATTAGTAATTTATTCAACTGTAATATTTTTAATTAAATTTAAAATTTAAAATTTTTTTAACTATCTAATAATTTAATATTTTGAAAAAATTTGTTCACCATTAGAAAAAAAAACAATAACAAGTAATTGATTAAAAATTTTACAATTAGAAGAATTATTAATTAAAAAAGTTTTAAATAAAAAATTTTAATTAAAGTAAAAACAACAATAAAAAAATTGGAAATATGAAAAGGAAAATCATGTTTAAAATTTTTTTATTAGTAATTTATTTAACTGTAAATTTTTTAATTATTTAATTAAAAATTAAAAATTTTTTTTATTATCTAATAATTTACATTTTTTTACAATGAAAAAAATATTATTTAAATTTGTTCACCATAGAAAAAAAACGAATGAAAAATAATTTTATTATTAAGAATTATTATTGATTACAAAAATTACAATTAAAAAAATTATTAATTAAAAAAAAAATTTTACAATTAAAAAATAAATAAATATTATTTTTATAAAAAAAAAAACATTGCTATGGATTTAAAATATTACAGTTCTAATAACTATTGATAAAAATAAATTATAATTAACAAAAAAAAATTTGTATGATTGAAAGAAATAAAATAAACCTTATATTTATTTGAAAAAAAATCTTTAAAAGGTTCTACATAGTGATAAACAAAAATTATTATTTTACAAAGTTTACGTAAAAAAAAATTTTTTCTACTGAAATTGCTTTAAAACATATGAATATTTATACAATATTAAATTTCAGAAAATTATGAACATTTTAGTTTTTCTTTAAAAACATATAGTTTATAAAATATTTCAAGACTAAAAAATTTAATTTTTTTGCGGAAACAATGCTTTAACTAAATATACTGTTAAAAAAAAAATAATGATATACACATGTATATGTATGTACATAGTCTTTTGCAAAATAATAATTTAAAAATTTTTGAGTAAAAATAAATTAAATATAATAAATATTTTTTTCTTTAATTAAAAAAAATATAAAAAATTATGGATTATAAAATATTCTAAAATTTTTAAAATTTTAATATATAACATTAATAATATAATAATTAAGAGTCAGTATATCGGCGACTTGATTAGGAAACCAGAAACATTACTGAGAGCTAATTCCAAAAGATGGCCCTCTATACCCTTGTCAGCACTAGCAAAGGCTTGTTTCTAGATACTAAGAGCTAAAAATGTACAATAACTTCATTTTAGAAGTAATTTTCTTCAAATTACTACAATAAAAACATTATTTTATTTAAAATTGAAAATACATTTTCTTTAATTAAATTAAAACTTTCGAGAAACAAAAGGAAAAACAAATTGTTTACATAAAATCCATCAACAGCTCATCATTTTGTCATTTTCCCACACCAATTAACATTTCCACACTCCCAACAATGTATCAAAATGCAGCAGCAGTTTGCACTGCTTATCACTTGTGTACACACACACTAATACAAAGCCATATACTCGTCCATTAGCCACCGCAGAATGTCGAAAATGTGGAGTGTGCACATTTTGTTGCCACTGTGTTTATTTATTTAGTGCGAGTGGCATTGTTGTTAGTGTTAACGCAACTATAATACAAAAAAAGGGCGAAAAGCCAACAACAGCAACAGCAACACAACAATGTGGGCACTCTCCGCGTCAAGTGTTAAGCGGCAAACAGCAGAGACCGCCAACCAAACGGAAATGGCATTAATGAATAAATTATAACGGCACTCTAGCGAAGAAAGCATAAAAAGTGTTTTGATTGCAACGCCGGCGCCGCTGGCAGCAGCAGTGCCAACAGCAAGTGCAAAAAGTCACGCGCGTGTGTACGCCAAGTCGCAACACAAACAAATAAACAAGCCGACAAACGTCAAACACCAACTTGTTCGCAGCCCATTGATGAAGTTATTCAATCAGCTCACGGCTAAAGGATAAAAATGTGCCCACCAACGCATGTGTGTGTGTATTTCTGTGTGTGTGTGTTTGGTTGAGCGCGTGCTTAAGAAAATTGACTCGATTATATTGTTGAGTGCGCACTCCCCACCCACACACACACCCATTGGCACCCTCTCGACTTGCTGCCTCAACATCCCATTAACTTCGGTAACAGTCGGCAGGCGGCGGCATTCACTTATCCTTATTTGTTATGCTAAAGGGGAGCTGCCGCAGAAGCTTAAAAAAAAACACTCCGTACAGAGAAAAAACAAGAAAATACCCTTCACAGTCGAATTTTTTATAGCATTAAGGTGTATAAAATACTCTTTATCTAACTTTGATCGGTCAGTGTATTTGGCAGATATATGCTATGGTGGTCCGATTTGTACAATTTCTTCGGAGACTATAGCATTGCTTTAGAACTAATTTCGGACTAAATTTTGTGAAGATATCTTGTCAAATAAACAAGTTTTCTATATAAGAACTAGATTTTGAGCGACCAGCTTATATGGCATCTATATGCTATAGTGATCTGATATCGATGATTCCGACAAATGAGCAGCTTTTTGAGCAGAAAAATATGTGTGTAAAATTTCATGTCAATATCTTAAAAGCTGCTGGACTAGTTCGCAGATAGGTATACAAATCGTAGAGAAAAGTGCTGAACTAGTGCCTGATTTGAATGCTGCCGCTGTCGTCGCCTGACCACACGCTTGGTTCTCAAGCATTCATCACCCAACACACTTATATAAGTACATATAGATATATTATATATATATATATATCATGAATAAATGAGCGCTTAAACAGAGCCAGTGCGTAAAATCCCCTTAGTGAGGCGCACAGCTGTGCTTTCAGTTCGCTTGCTTGTATGTATGTATGTGTGTAAGGACGACCATATTCGTTTGACAATATTATTTCAGTGATTTTTGTATACTTTACATCGCCAACGCACACACTTTCTAACAAATATTCACATCCACACACACACGAAAAAGTAGTCACACACACACACACACACACACATTTATTGGCGCCTGCTAATGGTTAGCATTGGTAAACAACCGAATTTATTACGTACCCCCAACCAACAACCACTACTTGAGGAAGGCAACGAGTGCACCACTTACTCTAGCCAACACTCAGCATTCGCTACAAGGTATATGTATGTACATACACATATAAACACACACACACAAACACATCTATGTACATTATCAACCGGCCTTGTGAAGTTAACACTTGCTGGCAGTGCGCTTATTTGCTTGCCACAGAATCGCCGCGCCGTTTCGCCGTTACCTTAATTCTACTCACCTCACAGCACAACCCACCACCACCCACCACAGTTCACCTCCCAAATCGAGATTTTTTAGCGAGTCGTGTGCACTCGAGCATTTCATTGAAATCGGTAAAATAATTGAGGGCGTTTTATTTGACATAGTGTGTCTGTCTGTCCGCCGCAAGATTACCGTTGTATGTGCGAAGGGGAGGAGGGAAAACGCATTAAACAAGGCGTATCAAATTTCATTACCCTCTTAACGCCCCACCACAGCACATTTTCATGCATTGTTGCCGCATAAAATTTGTTTAAAGAATAACAACAACAACAACAACGAGAGTAGCAGAAACATCAACAACAAAAACAGCAACGGCAACAAAAATAACTCCTATATCCACTAAAAAGGCTGGCAAATTGCTCGCATCTCATCAACATGGTTATCACTACTCACTACCCATCCACTCCCCCTCCCGTTAAGCAGCGCTGACAAAGACGAAACGGTAAAATGCGAATTATATTACCGTTTTCTTTGAGTTGGCATTCCATTGTCAAGTGTAATGCATTGATTTTGATTTCACTTTTTATGAAGGGCTTCGGATTCACTACTCTCAATGTGTGTGTGTGTGTATATATATGTGTGAGGGTGGCACCCTCCTGTGTTCGGCGTTGCTCTCAGCCATATTTCCGAAGTTAAATTTGCGTTTAGCTTCGTTTACTTGAAAGTAGTCACTTTTGAAATCATTTAATGAACATTGAAATTGAATTTTAGAATTGCTAACTGTAATTTTCTTTCAAGTTTTGATTTTTTTTGCGTTAATGTTCTTTGCTTTTGTCAGCGAAATGCGGCAATGGAAATCGTTAAATTGACATTTTGCGAATTTTAATTATTTTAGCTGCGTGTGAGCGAACATTAAACGAAGCGGAATGTGAAAAAACTAAATTGTTGAAATTTTATTTTATTATTTTAAAATAAATCAATCAAAACTTGCAGAAAATATTGAAAACTATTTTCGAAATTCAACAATAATGGATGTTTTTTTTATTATTTAAAATCAAAAGCAAGAAAAGTATTTAAAAAATATTTGAAAACTATTTTCGAAACTCAGCTCCACTAAACAAAGTTCAATAGTTTAAAAAATTTTAAATTATAATTAATTGAGACTTGCAGAATATATTCACTGTTTTCGAAATTTTGCAATAACACAATTTTTTTAAACACTAAAAATTTTAAAAATATTATTTTAAAATTAATTAATCAAAACTTGTTGCAAATATTGAAAACTAGTTTCGAAATTCAGCTTTAACATTAATTACAAAAATAATAATAATTATAAAAAAATTGAAATTTTATTTAATTAAAATGTAAAAAATAAAAAAAAATTTCGAAATTTTGCAACAATAATTTCTTTTACATTAAAAATTGCGTTTCAAAATTTTATATAAAATATTATAAGCTGAACTGTTTTCGAAATTTATTATTAACACATTTTTTTAATTTGAATATTAAATATTGTAAAAACATTATTTTAAAATAAAACAAATTAGAACTTACAGAAATTGTTGAAAATTATTTTCGAAATTTAGCTATAACAAAAATAATATTTAGCTATAACACCGTTATAGTTCGGAATAAAATAATTGCAAACTAATTTTTCATAATTTTACTTTGCTCTTATTTCTTACAGGTTTGGTTTAAAAATCGGCGCGCCAAATGTCGCCAACAACTACAGCAGCAACAGCAATCCAATAGCCTTAACAGTTCGAAGAATGTCAGCTCCGGCTCTAGCTCCTGCTCTACATCGCGCAATACATCGAATAGCGGCAATAGCAACAACAACAATTCCAGCTCATCCAACGCCAACAAATCGAATTCACATTCATCACATTCCACGTCCGGCGGAAGCGGCGGTAATAAATCTGGCAACTCTTCGGGCGCTGGCGGCAATGCGAATAACCCGAACAATGCCGGCGGTTCATCAGCAGCAGCGGCCGCTGCCGCCGCCGCCGTCGCACAGTCTATAAAATCCCATCACAGTTCCTTCCTAAATGCATCCTCCTCGGGCTCAGCGGTAACGCCCACCTCCGGTTCGGCCATTTCGTCACACGCACATTCAACACATCCGCATCACATGTCCGCTGGCGGTGGCATCAATTCGCTGGCGTCCGGCCCATCGGTGGCCACAGTGAATTCACTGAACGCCTCAGTGGCTGCGCATCAAAACTCCTCACCACTGTTGCCCACACCTGCCACCTCCGTGAGTCCCGTTAGCATTGTCTGCAAGAAGGAACATATCAGCGCCGGCTACCCTGGCGGTCCGGTCGGCAATGACGGCTCTTTGCGTTCCACCTACGACACATTGAAAGACGGCGGCGGCGACATCAGCAGCAGCGCCATACATCATCACAGCATCTATGGCACTGCGGCAGCGACGAATCCACGTCTGGTGCAACCCGGTGGCAATATAACACCGATGGATTCGAGCTCCAGCATCACAACACCATCACCGCCCATCACACCCATGTCACCACAATCGGCCGCCGCTGCAGCACATGCCGCACAAAGTGCACAATCGGCGCATCACTCGGCCGCCCATTCGGCGTACATGCCCAATCATGACTCGTACAATTTCTGGCATAATCAATATCAACAATATCCCAACAACTATGCCCAGGCGCCGAGCTACTACTCGCAAATGGAGTATTTCAGCAACCAGAATCAGGTCAACTATAATATGGGCCACACCGGTTACAGCGCCTCAAATTTCGGCCTCTCACCTAGTCCCTCGTTCACCGGCACCGTTTCGGCGCAGGCCTTCTCGCAGAACAGTCTGGACTACATGTCGCCACAAGATAAGTACGTGAACATGGTGTAGAATCTGCTGATGCAATATTGCAACAGCAATAGCAACACCAGTGCTGCCAGCGGCAGTGGCAGTGGCAGCGGCAGCGGTAGTGTGGGGGGTACCGTAGGCATTGCCGGCAACATCAGCGCTTCGTTAATGGGCAGTGGGAGTGGCAGTAGTAATTGTGGTGGCAGCGGTGCAACTGGTGGTGGCATACACGGTGAAGGCATCAAGCATTTCAGCGGCGGCGGCAATAACTATATTGGCGTAGGTGGGCGTGGCACTTATGGCCTGCACGATGGCAACGAAGATTACGCTATGATGCCACACTATGCTGCTGGTGGCAGCAGCAGCGGTGGCGGTAACAGCAATGTCAACAGTCGCGCCAACTTGCAACATCAGTATGCGACCACACAGCAGTCGCATCAGCAACACCAACAGCAACAACAACAACTAAACAACCAATACCAACAACAGTATCAGCATCATCATCACCAGCAGCCACATCAGTTGGCCATCAAGCTGTCGCCAGGCAGCACGCCGCCACCGGCAACAACTCCACTAACAGCTACAACAACAATGACAAGTGCAGCGCCGCCGCTGCCGCTTTTGCATTTGCCGTCGGCGTCCGGTGCGGCAGGCGCACACTTGCTGCCGCCGCCAGCACCGCCGTCGCATTTCTACGAAGCAACGGATGAGTATGCGTGAGCTGCATTGTGTGCGGGCGGAAGTTGGGAACACTCGAGAGACATATCCGTTAATGAAATTGTTGGAAAACAGTATGAAAATGCTCAATGCGCGGGGTGAGAGCGATAAATAGAGCGTATGAGAGAGTGAGAGGAAGTGAAAGAGAGAGTGTAGAGGGGAATTACTGCTGTCAGTGTGCAGCTAACATAAGTATGTGGTAGAAGAAGAAAGCAAGGAGTGAAGGCAAAAGCAGTTGCAGCCAGTATCAACGAAATAATGAGTGATAAATTAGGAACAAAAATTTCAAAAATCTCTTTATATATAGTTAATGTGTGTACGTGTGTGTGTGTTTGTACAGAACTTCAACAAAACGTTTAAACGAAAAATGTAATGTAAGTAAAATACACAAATATACCGTCAGGCGCTTGAGTGTTGCCCCCTTTTCTTTACTGAAATTCTTAGCAACAATATTTAACCCCTAACTAGCGATGTGGAAATTTACTTTTTTATATTTGAAAAAAAAATTTTTTTTTAATATTTTGTTTTCGAACTGCACTTCAAAAAATTATTTGCAAAACTTTTTAAATCGAACTAGACTAAAAAAAATTATTTAAAAATCGTTTGTTTTCAAATTTTGTTGAATGGAGCTATGATTTTAGTGCGAAAATGTAACGATTACGTACTGCTTCGGCAACTACAGTTAACAAGTTTTAACTGTTTTATTAACTTAAAAAACATTCTCTAAAAATTATAGCCGTTAATTATTCACATTATTATTTATTAATTTAAATCACTACAATATTCGTTTGTTTATTTTTTATATGTTAAAGGTGTAAATTATTAAAAATCAAATAACAAAAAATTAAAAGAAGCTGAAAATAAATTAATTAAAAGTCGTATCCATATTTGATTAATAACACTTTATTTTATATATATATTTATTTTGTAAAGCATTTTTTTATTGTTTTTAATATTTTTTCGAACAATATAATAAATGATTCGTAAACTGAAAATAATAAAAAAAAAATTGTATCAAAATAAAATTTAAAAAAAATTATAGAAACGAATCTGAACAAATTTTTTTCTTTATATTATTTTAACTTTTTAAATTTCAGAATAAATATCAAAATAATTGAAATTCTGCTTTCAATAATAATAATACATAATAATAAAATTTTTCCATAATAAAAAGTCAGTACGAAATACTTCTGCAAAGATGTTTTTAAAAATGTGTTTTTGAAAACTAGTATTGGTTATATTAGTAATTTTGAAACTTTTTCACTAATTTTTGTACTAAAATGCGAATTTTGGATCTACTTTACACATTTTTGGAATATTTTTGAGAAAAAATTGCCACATAGCTGTACCTTACATATGCGAATTTTCAAGTTTCTTTGCTACGTATTTCTAATATTTTGAGTATATATTTTAAATTAAATTCTTCAGATTTTGAAACAGTGTTAAATTGTATTGGAATTCGTCAAGTGCTGGTGGGTTGGTGAGATAGAAATAAAAGCTCACCTAATGGAAGAAGGTGTAATGCCCGCAGCACAATTATTGAATTTACGAGTCTTTTGAGGGCTTAAACATGTATGGTATATCTTACTGTCCGTCGCGTATTAATTCGCCTCATCACTTTGATAATTTATTTATCCATCTTAATTATTTTAAGCTGCTACAAACAAACGTTAGATGAACGAAATCATTAGGAGCAAAATGCTGCATTAGTGGACTTAAATAACTAAAATAAAAATATTTATTAAAAAATTTATTTAAAAAAATATTAGCCCAAAAAAAAATTTTTTTTTAACTTTTTTATGAAGACCTTTAACATATACATTCATCGGTTTGAATTTTTTTATACTCTTTAAACATTACACTACATTTTTTTTATATTTCATTTGGTTGCTTGCTGCAATTAATTTTAATTATTTTTTTTTTAATGTTACCTTAGCATAGACACACACCTAGCAACATTTTTTATTCATATTTTTTTCTGTAAAAATGCGCGAATATTTTTTTTATATTTTCATTTGTTGTAACCTTTTCAAATTTCTTTGAAAAAAAGTTTTGTTTTGCACGCTGCCACCACATAAAACACCTTGCCACTGAAATTAATTCAAACAATTAATTTTGATTTTAATATAAAACCATTATTTGCTGCATTTTAGTTTAAATTAGCATAATTTAGTCGGTAAGTTGCAAACACAAACTGTATATTTAAGTCAGCACACCGAAACCCCCCTCTGCCCGTCCCACAATTACTACGCATTGTAAAATAATAATATAAGCGAAAACAAAAATTTAAAAAAAATATTATTAAAACAACAACAACAATATTGTATAAAGTCTAACTAATATCGAAAATATTTCATATCAAAAATTCAGATTTTGCATATTTAACGAATAAAGAAATGAAAAACGAACTATTTTATAAGAGAACTTCTTTAGCAGTGTGTGTAAATGATATATAACGAAATATAAAAATGGAGCAGAATGTAAATTATTAAAAATAAATTACAAAAGCAAGAAGAAAAAAATCAATTTAGGTTAGTAAAAGCGATGCAAATACATTTATGGCGCTCGCTTGGTTTGCTGGCATGAACTACTAGCAACCGTTATATCAGAAAGCAAAGTTGAAGAGTTAGCCGCTAGTTAATTTTATTTAGACAGCTAAGTTATTAAACTAATTGTTGCAAATAAGCAAAACTGCAAAATTAAATTAATTTGTAAATATCAAAAAATATATATATATAAAAAATTAAATTAAATTAAATAGCTTAAAATAAATATTAATAATAATAAAAAAAATAATAAATAATAATAAAAAAAATAATAAATAATAATAAAAATATGAAATAATAAAGAAAAATAAATAAAAATAATTAAATAAGTTGAAAATATATAAAAAATAAAATGAATTAGCGCATTAAGTTGTAAAGCGTTTGCATAATTAAAGCTGTAATTAACAGTAAATGTAATTGAAGTAAACAAAAAAAAAAAAAAACAAAAACGAAAACAACCTATACATATATAACTAGCTAACTAATAAGTTGTTTAATCTGTGTACAAATAATTAAAACCACTTGTAATTATTATTACTTTAACAATTAAATTAAAAGACAACAAAAAAAAATTATATATATATAATTGAAAGCAAATAAATAAATATAATGTAATGTGTATTGAAAACAACAACAAAAATGTGTTTATATTCATTTGTGTATATTTCTGTAAGGCAACTGCAAGCTACGAATAATAAAATAAAATTTTTATTTCCGCAAATTTTATGTTTTTGCTTTGTGTTGTATTGTTGTATCGCTGTGTGTGCTGTGTTGTTGTGTTTTAATGCGCTTAAGTTTTTCGCAAGTTTGCGTTCTTTAAAGCAATATTTTTTGCATTTTTTTCAGTTAATACATTTTTGTGCGCGAAATTCGCGCGAAATAAAAATTTATCATGAAACAACAAGTAAAAAAAACAAAATCATTATTGATTTGTATTATCCTTCGCTAGCAAAATGCGCGCAGTTCGCAATTTATCATCATTAAAACATGGCCTTTTTGTTTTATAGCAAAAGTCATTGTGTTTTTGTTGTTGGCGCAGAAAGAAATATTTATTTTTGATGAAAATGGCAGCTACCAGAGAGAGATTTATTACTGCTTTTTTATAAAAAAATTTTTATCGTTTTGGTTTTGTTTTTGGCTGTCATATTTTATTTATAGCGTATTACTTTATTTTCGGAGTATATTAAGTAATAAGCAAATTGGTTTTCAATTGTAGAGCTTGTCGAAAATTGTCGAAATTTTTTGGTTTAAATTAATTATTATATATTTTTTAATTTTAATTATAAAATGATTTTATTTATAATAAATTTTTTTATTTATTTAAATTAATTTGTAATATAATTTTTTTTTTAATTTAATAATTTATTTGTAATATAATTTTTTTTTTTAATTTAATAATTAATTTAAATATTATTTACCCTTTAACTTTTAGTTTATTTTACTATTAAGAAGAAGAATTGTTGTGTGTAAAATTCAATATTATTTTAGTTTAAACTAAGTATTTTGATTTTTTAAATAATTTTATAAATTATTTAAACTATAATTTATTTTAATTTTAATATATAAGTTTTTTATTTTTTTAATTAAATAACAAATTTAATTAATTTTTATATTCTTGCTTTTACTTTCTTCTGCTTTTAGAAGGAAGAATGTGTTTAAAATTTAATATTATTTTAGTTTAAATTAATTATTTTTTAAAATTTTTATTTTTTATTTTATAAATTATTTTAGTTATAATTTTTAATTTTTCTTAATTTTAATATTTAATTTTTTTTATAACAAATTTAATTATCATTTATCTTTCTTTTTATTTTATTTTACTTTTAAGAATAAAGATTAAATTTAATATTATTTTAATTTAAATTAATTATTTTATTTTTATTTTTTATTTTGTTTCTTTAAATTATTTTAATTATAATTTTTTATTTCTTTTAGTATTTAATTTTTTTATAACTTTTAATAAAATAATAAATTTAAGTAATATTTACTCCGTTAATTAATTTAATTTAATTACTTTAATTTTGATTTTTTAAATTATTTTAATTATAATTTATAACTTATTTTAATTTTTATATTTAATTTTAATATTTATTATTTTTTTAATTAATTCTTTCTTTTTGTTTTCTTTTACTTTTATTGATATCTTTTTCGTAATTCGATGTTATTATTTTAATGAATAGTTTTTGAAACTTACGTATTTGCATTAAAAATTAATTATTTTATTCAAAAATTTCTGTCTGCCGTTTCGTTCCTTTGTACGTGCTAACTTCCTTTATGCTTTCATTATAAAGCCACGTAGCATATTTAGTTCCTCTGTTAGATGGCAACTGCCTTCTAAGAATGGATGAATGTTATATAATTCTTAGATATGGCCCCTATAAACTGAATAAGCTATTTCCATTGGATTGGTATTTAAGGACATGTAATTCAGTAGATCTCCTGCGTTCTAATCTAGGCCGAAACGATCTCGCAGTCGCAGGCGAAGATGGTCGCCGACCAAAGCTTGCTAAGCGCACGCGAAGTTCATAGGTCTAGTGCTGGAACGCAAGTTGGAAATAGAAAAAAAATTGATTTTAATTCTCTCGTAAAAATATTTTTTTTTACTCACAATTTGTTAGCATATATACTTTTTTTTGTATTATTATTATTAATACCCTGAACAAGGTACATATTGTATATTAAGTGTGCGACGAAGTTTGCACCACCCAAAAGAAAAAGTCCCTATAATATACTTGTATATTCGATTTAGCCATGTCCATCTGTCTGCAAATTTAATTTCCAAAATTTGTTAGATACTGATTAAAAATTTTGCACACGTTCTTTTCTCAACGAGAAGCTGACCATTTGTCGGAACCGCCAATATCGGGTACATAAGCATATAGCTGCCATAC